ATTGTATCACATACTACCTCATAGTAGAGGTAGTTGTTTTAGTTTCATATTGTAAAAAGTGAGTTTACTCCTCTTTATTCCAGCGCCACACAGGTTTGTTGCGGTTGGCTCTGGCCCTTTGGCTCAGATCATCAAAACTGAAGATCTCTGCCAATCCAATGTTTCCCCATAAGAAAGCATTGGGATGCTATTGCGCATGTGCAGCAAAACACTGCGCCAATCAGCATCTCCTCATAGAGATGCATTGAATCAATGCATCTTTATGAGGAGTCTTCAGTGTCTCCATGCGGAGCATGCTCTGAAAAGGCAGTGTTTACATTAAAATGCCTGCATGGACATGGTATAGACATCAGAACAACTGCATTAAGCTGTAATTGTTCTGGTGACTACAGTGTCCCTTTAATCTTGGGTGTGTGCCTAGAGGAACGGAATGATCAAGTGCCTCTTAAGTTTACAATTGTGGTATAAGGGATGGGTTTAAGTTTAAGGTGGGATTAAAATTAGAATTGTTGGTGTTTAATTTTGTAAAAGGTGTTAAATAGAGTTGAGCGAACCCGAAATTTTTGGGACACCAAACATATCACTGTATGTTCGGGTTGGAGTTCGGTGTTCGGCGATTTAATGGCACGTTTTGAAAGGTTGCAGGGCAGCCAATCAACAAGCGTTTGACTCGTGCGCCCTAAGAAGCCATCACTATTGGCATGGCTGTGATTGACCAGTGCAGCATGTGACCCAGCCTCTATATAAGCTGGTTACTTAGTATTATTAAATTATGACCCTACTCGCTATACCGCGAGTAGGAGCATGTCTATTAAACAGTGAGCAGCCTCCTGAGCCCCCACCCACGACGTGCGGGTGGGGGCTTTTAAACTAAAGGGGGGACCTATTGCCCCCCCAGCCCCCAACCCTGAGCGGTGGGTAGGGGCCCTAAATACCAATAAGGAGGGGGGCACCTATTGTCCTCCCCCCCGGCCCCCACCCCTGAGCGGCGGGTGGGGGCCCTAAATATCAATAAAGGGGGACCTATTGTCTTCCCCCCGGCCCCCACCCCTGAGCGGTGGGTGGGGGCCCTAAATACCAATACGAGGGGGGAACTATTGTCCTCCCCACAGGCCCCCACCCCTGATCGGTGGGTGGGGGCCCTAAATATCAATAAGGGGGGGACCTAATGTCCTCCCCCCTAGCCCCCACCCCCCTAGCCCTAAATAAAAATTTAACCCCTCTCCCCCCAAAAAAATAACCCCTACCTACCCCCCTCAACCTAAAAATAATGAGGGGGGACCCTTATCTAAATACCTTTCTTCTAAACTCTTCTTTTTGCAGCCCCAAAAAAGGCCAAATAAAAATCCAAAATAACTGACGCACTTTAAAAAAAGAATTTAAAAAAATAAATTTTCACCCATGGAGGTCTCCGTGCAGACTGAGCTCTTCAGGGCGGGGCAAGGCTTATAAAGGCTTATAAAGCCTTGCCCCGCCCTGCAATTAGGCTCAGAGCACTCTGATTGGTGGGTTTAAGCCATCCAATCAGAGTGCTCTGACAGGTAAATGAAGAGACTGACAGGTAAGTCTCTACATTTACCTGTCACAGCACTCTGATTGGTTGGCTTGAAATCCACCAATCAGAGTGCTTCGTGTCATTTTACACAGCGTGGGAAAGTACTTTGGAATGTTCCCACGCTGTGTAAAATGACACAGAACACTCTGATTGGTTAGCTTGAAATCCTGCCAATCAGAGTGCTCTGTGTCATTTTGCACAGCGTGGGAAAGTTCTTTGGAATTTTCCCACGCTGTGTAATTTGACTCATAACTATCTGATTGGTTACTTTCAATCCACCAGAGTGTTGTTATGAGTCAAATTACACATCGTGGGAAAATTCCAAAGAACTTATCCACGCTGTGTAAAATGACACAGAACACTCTGATTGGTTAGCTTGAAATCCAGCCAATCCGAGTGCGCTGTGTCATTTTGCACAGCGTGGGAAAGTTCTTTGGAATTTTCCCACGCTGTGTAATTTGACTCATAACTCTCTGGTTACTTTCAATCCACCAATCAGAGTGTTGTTATGAGTCAAATTACACAGCATGGGAAAATTCCAAAGAATTTATCCACGCTGTGTAAAATGACACAGAGCACTCTGATTGGTGGGTTGAAAGTAACCAATCAGAGTGTTGTTATGAGTCAAATTACACAGCTTGGGAAAATTCCAAAGAAATTTTCTTAAACGCTGTGTAAGATGACACAGAGCACTCTGGTGGATTTTAAGCCGACCAATCAGAGTGCTGTGACAGGTAAATGTAGAGACTTAAATGTCAGTCTCTTCATTTGCCTGTCAGAGCACTCTGATTGGATGGCTTACACCCACCAATCAGAGCGTTCTGAGCCTAATGGCAGGGCGGGGCAAGTGCGTCGCTTAATATGGATTTTTATTTGGCCTTTTTTGGGGCTGAAAAAAGAAGAGTTTAGAAGAAAGAAGACATCAAATGGTAGGTCTATATTTTTTTTTACAGGTATTTAGATAAGGGTCCCCCCTCATTATTTTTAGGATGAGGGAGTAGGTAGGGGTTATTTATTGGGGGGACGGGGGGGACTTGGGGTTTGGGGACCCCTTGTCACCTGGGGGGGTTAAATTTTTATTTATGGCCCCCACCCACCACTCAGGGGTGGGGGAGCACATTAGGTCCCCCCCCCCAATTTTTATTTATTGCCCCCACCCACCGCTCAGGGGTGGGGGCCGGGAGGACATTAGGTCTCCCCCAATTTTTATTTATGGCCCCCACCCACTGCTCAGGGGTAGGGACTGGGGGGAGAACATTAGGTCCCCCCTCCCCCATTTTTATTTATGGCCCCCACCCACCACTCAGGGGTGGGGACCGGGGGAGAGGACGACATTAGGTGTGTCCCCCCAATTTTTATTTATGGCCCCCACCCACCGCTCAGGGGTGATGGCCGGGGAAGGGAGAATATTAGGTTCCCCCCCAATTTTTATTTATGGCCCTCACACACCACTCACGGGTGGGGGCCGGGGGTGAGAACATTAGGTCCCCCCCATTTATATTTATGGCCCCCACCCACCGCTCAGGGGTGGGGGCCGGGGGGGATGGACATTAGGTCCCCTCCAATTTTTATTTATGGCCCCCACCCACCGCTCAGGGTTGGGGGCAAGGGGGGGAGGACAGTAGGTCCCCCCCACATTCTTATTTACGGCCCCCACCCACCGCTCAGGGGTGAGGGCCTGGGGGGAGGACCGTAGGTTCCCCCTTATTGTTATTTAGGGCCCCCACCCTCCGCGCAGGGGTGGGGGCCGGGGGGAGGACAGTAGGTTCCCCCCACCGCTCAGGGGTGGGGGCTGGGGGGGAGGACTTGGCTTCTCCCTTATTGTTATTTAGGGCCCCCATCCACCGCTCAGGTGTGGGGGCCGGGGGGAAGGACCTGTCCCACCCCCACATTTTTATTTATAGCCCCCACCCACCGCTCAGGGGTGGGGGCCGAGAGGGAGTACATTCTTATTTAGGGCCTCCACCTGTCGCACAGGGGTGGGGGAAATAGGTTTGTTTTGTTTTTGTTTTTTTTACAGTGAGCAGCAACAGGCTGCCACACCCTCAATGCTCTCCCTGCTCCTCCTGCAAGCCACTTCCTGTGTAAGAGGCTGCTAGTGGGCAGATAGGAAGTGACCCCTTCCACTTCTTGTACAGCCTCACACACATTGAGTTGGGAGTTTCCTGCAGCAATGCTATCAAGCATTAGAGTCTGGACAGACTACTTGTCTCTCCCCATCAGCATTCTTAATCTTCAAAACCGCACATTATAAGTGCTGAAAACAGGTAGACGTGGTGCCTAGTTGTGCCTACTCTGCCTTAATGGGAAATTTGGCCATGGGTGTAGCAATCACGTTGATGGAAGGGAGTGTATCTAGTAGTCAAGCCAATGGCAGAAAACATTTTTAATTGCCTCACTACTGTTCAATGGCCAAACACAAAGTCACAAATCATCATTCAAAACTGTACATCTCTGATTGTTTAGGTCTGCATTACAGTTAAAAAAAAATAAAATAAGGGAAAATTACTTTGTATTTCATGTCCATTTTCTTGTTCACCTTCTAAAGCCATTTCGAATAGCAACTCCTCAAACACCTAGCACAGATCATTTTGGTCTTCAAATCAGCCCTGGAATAATTTTAGGTGACAGTCCCCTTAGTAATGTCAAAAGCTGTAAGACGGCTTAGGCAAGAACATTTTTAATAAATGTAGTGTTTAAGTACAAAGACTGCAGTGGCTGACTGTGAGGCCAATTAGAGAACTTGCTGAAGCCTGACCAGCAGAAGCAGTATACATTTTCTGACAAAAAGAAGATGTATTCATGTCACTCCTCCATGACAACAACCGATAAAATATTCCTTAAAGACACTGCTCCCTTCTGCAGTTATAAATGGCAGTGAGTGATAGTATAGTTGATTCTTAGAGACAGCACCATCACTTACAAAGGATATTTATTTTTTTTACCACTCAAACATTTTTATTGAGGTTTTTCATTTGGTACAAATCATACATAAACAAAGTATAACAATTTGTCTTTGACACCATATGGTGTTAGAAAAGAGTGCATGTTTTAAAAAAAAATAATTCCATTCTGGTTATGATTCCCCCAATGTTAAACCTTCTTCCTATATGTCACTGACGTGTTTTGTGTAGTGAGGAAGTGTTGCAACAGATAATATAATAAGTGAAACAAATAACACAAATGTAAAACATCTAAGAAACAAACAAATAGTAAAATGACATTTGAGCTTGGTCAAAGTTGTCACTAATCCAGATATCCGAAGTGAATAGGGATGTATATGTGGTGGTTGGAGTGTCCGTGTTGGAGGTCTGCCCGATTTCGAGGGTTTAAAAGAGATATTTAACCATCCATGCAGTTATATATCCCTAAGCCTATCATATTTGGTATAGAGTACCCATGGCCACTCGCCTTGAATGTGGCCCCTCTGAATTTATCTATTAGCACCTTGATCATGTGCAAAGAGTAACTTAAATTATTGCTTGGAAATGTTCTTAGTAAATATAAAAGTTTGGGTATAATTGTCATCTTAACCGCTGATTGTCTGCCCAGTGGACTCAATCAAATGCTCTGAATCTACTGAGAAGAGAAGGTTTTGGAATATGAGATGTATAGGCATGTTGAAAATTTTTTGAAAATTTGCGAGTTTTGTCCGATGCCTGCCTTCCTTTCCTTAATGTCGAACTGATCCGTATGTATGATTGAGGGGAGGAAGGTTTAGAGAAGTTTTGCCAGGACCTTTGCATACATTTCCGTGTCCACATTGAAAAGTGATATAGGTCAAACGTTCTGGCAAACAATTTGTTTTTAACTGGGTGTTAACAGGGGGATATTATGCGCATGTGTACCCTGTGGTACCTGATAAGCATAGTTTGATACTAGATCCCTGAGAACCTGTCTGGCCCCAAGCTTTTGTGTTTCGGTAGTTGGCTTATCACAGTCTCTGTTTCATCTTTAATGACTCCTGCTGAGAGAGTACCTATTTGCTTTGAGATGAGACATGTAAAGTCTAATGTGACTAGGAAGTATTTTTTTCATTTTTTATAATTTTCCGGTGTGACTGAGGGGTTCTCGAGTCTGATAACCTACTTTTACGCCTCCCTTTATAATCTGTAAATTCCTCCGCTATCTTTACTGGGCTGAGCAGGTTCTGCCCAGAAGCAGAGTATATGAATAGTACGGTAGTTGTCACTTTTTTTTCTTTTAATTTTCTGGCTAGAATGAATCCTGTTTTGTTGGACTATGCATTATAAGATTATTTTAAGCAATGTAACTATTGTTCTGTTTGGTATAGTTGTATCTCGCTAATAGTTTGTTTGATTTGGGCTAAGAGAAGTCTTGGATGGAGTTTGTTTGTGTAGGGTGTCTACCTCATTAAGTGTCTTTTCCTCTTTTTGTGAGACGCTAATTTGAGTCATTCTCCTTGCATTACTGCCATATGGGCCAGCCAAAGGCTTGTTGGAGAGAGTTCTGGTGAAGTATTTTGGTTAAAGCACTCTTCTAATTTTTTTTTATAGTTTGTCATGTCTCCATCTGTGCCAAGAGAGACTCATTGGATCTCCAAACTCCCTTTCCCCTGAATGGATGTGACTGCAATGGACAGGATGAGCACAGCATGGTCTGACCAGGATTGGTGACCCATTACAGATTTATGTTACATTTTGTAAGGTTGTTCTGTCCAGCATGAAATAGTGCAGACAGGAATAGGTGTGTTATCTATGGGATTAAAAAGAATCATTTTGACGGATTGGGTTTTTAGATTTCTATTAAATGCCACCGGATAAGTATGCCATAATGTTGTAAGGTTATTACCTAGTGAGTGAAGGCATGACAGATAGCGTGGGTTGGGTTGTGCAAAGGTGTCTAATGAGGGATCTCATAAGAGGTTAAAGTCCTCACAGGAAATTATCATATTTTGTTCTGTTTCATAAACTTTACAAATAAATTCATGAAGAATTGAATTTGGCCTTGATTGTGTGCATAAACATTTATTATTATATATTTCACATCGTTAATTAAACTTGTTAATTTGATAAAGTTACCTTTCCCATCACTTTGCTTGTTTAATAGTTGTAAGGTAACTAAATGGTCTATTAACGTCACCATTCTAGTCTTGGATTGGGTCATGGATTGGTAACTAATAGGGAAATCTAGATGATTTAACACAGATTTTTTCTTGTAATTATGTGTTCCCTTAGATATGAGCAAAAATGGGAAGTGTTGTAGGGGCGTAATCTACAATGACTGCTAACTGATGATTAGGATACCAAAAAACCATAGCCAAAAATATTCTAAGCAGACCTCAGAGCCATTATGTTAAACATGTGTTTATAAAAAGGGTTTTTGTAAACTCATTTAGCTGAACCTTCTCTTTGATGCCTTAAAGGACCACTATAGTGCCAGGAAAACATACTCGTTTTCCTGGCACTATAGTGCCCTGAGGGTGCCCCCACCCTCAGGGTCTCCCTCCCGCCCGGCTCTGGAAGGGGGAAAGGGGTAATAACTTACCTTTTTCCAGCGCTGGGCGGAGAGCTCTCCTCCTCCTCGATCCGCCCGGCTTGAATGCGCATGCGGCAAGCTTGGCACGCATTCAGCGGTCACATAGGAAAGCATTTACAATGCTTTCCTATGGACGCTGGCGTGCTCTCACTGTGATTTTCACAGTGAGAAGCACGCAAGCGCCTCTAGTGGCTGTCAATGAGACAGCCACTAGAGGATTAGGGGGAAGGCTTAACCCATTCATAATTATAGCAGTTTCTCTGAAACTGCTATAATTATGAAAAAATGGGTTAACCCTAGAAGGACCTGGCGCCCAGACCACTTCATTAAGCTGAAGTGGTCTGGGTGCCTAGAGTGGTCCTTTAAGTTGATTAGATGCCTAAAGTATACAATGCTTAATTACGCAGGGTCAAAATATATCAGTTGTGGTCTTGGAGTGACATCTCTTTTCCCCTATTAGGATATAAGCTTAACTGTGGGTCTGCGTAGGAGGAGTTGATGGAGAGAGGAACTAGTACTTCTGTAAAAGTAATTCTGAAAATTAGAGTCAGCCACAGAGACTCTTACCAAACATATAATTTATATATGATTATATTATAAAACCATAGAATTCAAAGAGGGTGTACTTTCTTTTTCCCATGCCTGTGTATGTGTGTGCATTTATATATATATATATATAAATATATTTTATATATATAATATTGTCCAATGCTTGCACTCCAGTAAAATTATTTATATAGCCCGGTGCTTGTCAGCAATAGTAATAGATATAGAATAGGAATAGCACTCCAGGGACTTCATTAAAAAAGTGAAAAAATAAACAACTTTTATTCAGCAACTGCCACGAGTGATCAACGTTTCAGTCCTATGTCAGAACTTTCGTAATGAAAGCAAGGCCTACATTGCTGTATTATTTTTTTCTCTAATGGAAGTCACTCAGCCACTAGAGGTGCTTTCAGGGTCAGTGCTGCACAACTTCAGCATCTCCACGCTCTGCATGGAGACACTGACTGGTGCTATGCAGGGTTTTGCGGCGCATGCACAATAGCCTTCCAATTCTTTCCAGTAGGAAAGCATAGGATTGACTAAGATTGTTAAATTTGGTAACCTCAGCCAAGCAGGGGCCCGCCCCTACAAGACCCGCAAGGGTGCTGGTAATAAGATGAGTTTTACACCTTTTTAACGGGGCAAAGGCCTAGATGGCGCATTTTGAACTATAGTGTCAGGAATAAACATTTGTGTTCCTGACACTATATTGTTCCTTTGAGCAAAGTTGAAGGGATTCCCTTTCTATGGCCACTTTTCTTAGCTTCAGCTCATATCAAATCTGTAAGAGCGGCCAATTTCTAGTTTACATGGCAACATTTTTTAATTTTTTTTTTTTTAATCAGAGGATTTTTGTACCTTGGAGCTTTCAGATTCCCAACTAGCGCACTATCCCGAACCAAAGGTTGCTTTCTGGATTCTAGAATGCTCCTTGTTTAGATGGTTGGATCTGAACTATTATATGGCCTCATACTTGATATTCTATCTTGTTTTGGGTTGTTTTTTTCCCCCCTCTTTCTGTACATAATGTAAATGTGCTGTTTTGCAGCAAACTGGAGTTACTCTCATCTAACTTTTTAATTTTTCTGCTTATTGACTATCTCCAATTGTTTATAGTGCTTCTGCACAATTTAAACAAAAAACAAAACAAAAAAAAAAAAAGATTTTTTTTCTTAAGTGTTCTTTTAAAAAAAGGCTGGAAAGCTAGAATTAAACCAGTTGTATACAACAAATAGTACTACTTTGTATCAAAGATTGTCTACTAAAGTTTCCTGTGCCAACCTATCTCAGATCCTGTGTTAACTTCATTCTGGGCACGTCTCCTAGATACTAATTACCAATGTTGCAAGTATTCTTAAAAGACAGACCAACTGCTGGCTCAAATGAAACTGTGTATATGCCTTCAAGGCAGACATACTGCCATGTGAATTGCATGAAAGAGGACAGAACTAGAACGACTTTATTTAAATGGCTTTGCCTATAGGTCAGACAATAGATGAGCTATATCACAGGTAGTGTTTTTGTTTCTATTTTTTTTATACAAAAAAGATATACCTTTACCAATGTTGCCTCTTGCATACTGCCACCATAATGTATTCAAGGGCATGATGATCCTTTTAAAGCCTGCTTAGCTTTATTACTTTCTGCAAGGAGCTATATTACTGCTAATTGATTTTTGTCAAGTCATTTGTATATTGCCTTTTTAATCCCCAAAGTACATTAATATGTATCAATTAAAACCTGTGTGATCTTAAACATAGAAACATAGAATGTGACGGCAGATAAGAACCATTCGGCCCATCTAGTCTGCCCAATTTTCTAAATACTTTCATTAGTCCCTAACCTTATCTTATAGTTAGGATAGCCTTATGCCTATCCCACGCATGCTTAAACTCCTTTACTGTGTTAACCTCTACCACTTCAGCTGGAAGGCTATTCCATGCATCCACTACCCACTCAGTAAAGTAATACTTCCTGATATTATTTTTAAACCTTTGTCCCTCTAATTTAAGACTATGTCCTCTTGTTGTGGTAGTTTTTCTTCTTTTAAATATAGTCTCCTCCTTTACTGTGTTGATTCCCTTTATATATTTAAATGTTTCTATCATATCCCCCCTGTCTCGTCTTTCCTCCAAGCTATACATGTTAAGATCCTTTAACCTTTCCTGGTAAGTTTTATCCCGCAATCCATGAACCAGTTAGTAGCCCTTCTCTGAACCCTCTCTAAGGTATCAATATCCTTCTGAAGATATATCTCTCATTAAGATGGAGACCGTATGATCAAACTGTAATGTGCCAGTAATATTGATTATCTGCTGCAAAGATTGATACCAATTTACAGCTGTAAACCGGTATTAAATAGTTACCACAAAAAAAAGGAAATGTAACTTGGCTGCTCCAAAATGAATGGGTTTGAATAATCCATCTGCATACATCATCAAGATGCGCACAACTAGGTATTAGGGGATATTGGTTAGCATGATTGTATCTTTATTTAAGATACAGTTTTCTTTATTCAAGAATTTTTCAATTTGTGCTTCAAGCTCAGAACAGAATCCACAAAGTAAAAGGAGTGCATTAGAAAGGGCCTAGGTTACAAGTATTCATGCATTTATGGAAGCTCATTTTTCCTTTCTTTGGTAACATTGATAGTCATACATATTCCATTATCCAGCCAATGGCTGCACCAAGATCAAGATAATAGTGCCATCTAGAGGTGGAAAGAAAACACTGAATATTGCCCAAAACAAAAACCAAATGAAAATGCATTACTGGATTACTGTAATAATTCAATTGAAAATACCAAATCACCATTGCTCGGTATTAGACTGTTACACAAACATATATTAAACTATGCCACATAGACTTATACAATGACATTTAACAAAACCATGCAATGGACAATTTTCTTCCTTTTCTCATATGAGAAGACTGGGCTGGGTTTAGAAGAAAAGCAACCTTTAGTTTCACTTTAAACCAACAAAACATGAGCCTCTTTTTAAACAGACAATTCCTTTACTCCTCTTCCTTTAAAATATTAAACGAGAAATGTATTTAAATAAAAAAAACATAGGACATAATCTTAAAAGGAATACTCTAACTGAAAATAAATATAATTTGAAAGTGTTAGAGTGTTTCTCTTTTAGTAAAGATTACTGGGTTTAAAAAAAAGTGAAGCATACATGTAATTCAGTGCCAGGACAATTTTCCTTGATGCAGCTTAACCCCTTAACCCCTTAAGGACACAGCTTCAGAAGCTTGACTTACGCTTAATGACACAAGCAATTTTTGCATTTTCTTGCTGTTTGCGTTCAACTGCAATTTGCATCTCTCTCATTTATTGCACCGACACATATTATATACTGTTTTTTAAAGGACAGAAAAGGGCTTTAATTTGATATAACATATATATATATAAATGCTTACTTATTATAAAAAAAATACAGAAAAATGCAAAAAAAATGAAAAATATTGGTTTTTTTTTACAGTTTTTGCAATAATAATGTGTGCATAATTAGTGCAGGTTAAGGAAAGTAATTAAAAATAAATTTATTTATTTGTTCTGATTTACAGAATATATAATGTGTCTGGGATTTTAAGTTTTTTTTGGTAGTTACAGGTCACAAAGCACAAGGAGTAAAATAAACTTTTAATGTGGAGCGATTTTAGAATTTGGTATGTTTGTCTTGTAAGCTTAATAGCCATAAAAGAAAACAAAATTGCCACACAAAAGTATATATTTATATAAAGTAGACATCACGGGCTATTTACCTAAGGTTGTTTTGACACTTTCTACGTAGCCATTTCACCGCCAACCTCTGCTAAATATTGGAGTAAAATTGTGTTCTTTTTGGTTTTTGGCACACAAACTTATAACAGAGAAATTCTCGTGTATATTTTGTAAAGTTGGTGTGTGCTATTCCTGTACAAAGTTTTATTTTGTGTTCAGTTACATCTGCTGAGTAAAATGACACCCCATTGTATGTCTTTTGCACTATTTCGTGAAGTTACAGTGCCATACAGGATACCTGTCCTTTTCAGTATTCACAGTAGAATTTTGAGAGATGAATTTAATGAGCCTTAGCTTCCATTTGGGGTATTATAACAGTTTGACTGTTCAAAAAATCCCCACAAAGGCCTACCATTTGTAAAAGTAGACACTCCAGGGTATCTTATAAGGTGCATATTGTGCCTTAACATGCCCCCATTTTTTCACCAATATATGCCAAAGTATGTGGTAAAAAATAATTTTGTGCATTTTTTACATACGGATTGCATTTTTGCTGGGCGTTTTGTATATTTCATATGTGCCACTAAGTTCAAACCCCCCAAATTATGCTCAGCTAAGTCTTCTGAGTAAAATGACACCCCATATGAATGTCTTTGTCACTATTTCGTGAAGCTACAGTCCCATATAGGAGACCTGTCCTTTACAGTATTCACAGTAGAATTTTGCTAGATGGATTTAATGAGCCTTAGCTTCCATTTGGGGTATTATAACAGTTTGACTGTTCAAAAAAAACCCACAAAGGCCTACCATTTGTAAAAGTAGACACTCCAGGGTATCTTATAAGGTGCATATTGTGCCTTAACATGCCCCCATTTTTTCACCAATATATGCCAAAGTATGTGGTAAAAAATTATTTTGTGCATTTTTTACATACGTATTGCATTTTTGCTGGGCGTTTTGTATATTTCATATGTGCCACTAAGTTCAAACCCCCAAATTATGCTCAGCTAAGTCTTCTGAGTAAAATGACACCCCATATGAATGTCTTTGTCACTATTTCGTGAAGCTACAGTCCCATATAGGAGACCAAGCCATATCCGTTTTTACCAAACTTTGAATTTTGTTGCTGTGCCTATGTGCAATTTCCAAGCATCTTCGCAGGTTTTAAATTCAAACTACCCCACAAAGGCCTACCATTTCTTAAAGTAGACACCCCAGGGTGTTTCAAAAGGTATAGTTTGAACCTTAGTGTGGGATCATTTTTCCGCTAGCTTGTACCAGATGTAGTGGTAATAAGCGTTTTTTCTGCCTTTTTGACATACAAAGTGAGTTTGCACAGTATATTTTGCAAACCTTATGTGTGCTACGACTGTATAATACTTCATATGTTGCTCAGCTATGTCGGCTGAGTACAGCAATACCCCCGTATGTACCTTTGCCAGGTATGTGTGGACATCGGAGGGGCACATTTGGGACACAGCCATTCCAGTTTTTTTCAAACTTTGAATTTTTATGCTGTGCCTATGTCCCATTTTAGAGTATTTTACCAGGCTATATAATCCAAATTCCCCATAAAGCCATACCATTTCTTAAAGAAGACATCCCAGGGTATTTCAAAAGGCATATTTTGAACCTTAGCGTGGGATCATTTTTCCGCTAGCTTGTACCAAGTGTAGTGGTAATAAGCATTTTTTCTGCCTTTTTGACATACAAAGTGAGTTTGCGCAGCATATTTTGCAAACCTTATGTGTACTATGACTGTATAATACTTCATATGTTGCTCAGCTATGTCGGCTGAGTACAGCAATACCCCCGTATGTACCTTTGCCAGGTATATGTGGATGTTGAAGGGGCGCATTTGAGACGCAGCCATTCAGTTTTTTTCTAACTTTGAAGTTTTACGCTGTGTCCATGTTCCAATTTGGAGTAGTTTAGACGGTTGGTTATTGAAACTTCCCCACAAACACATACTATTTATTAAAGAATACACCCTGGGGTAATTCAAAAGGCATATTTTGAACCTTGGCGTGGGATAATTTTTTCTCTAGTTTGTTCCAGGTGTAGTGGTAATGAGCGTTTTTAAAATGTATTTTTTTACTTTTTATAACTTTTTTACTTTTAAAAACTAGTTTTTAAACTTTTGTTTTGCTTATAAATTTTTTTTAAACTTTCCTAAACTTTCTTAAAACTTTTTTACAGATTTAACATTTTTCTAAGCTTTTTTTTTTACCGTTAACCCCTAACTAGCAGTACGCAGCACTAACAGTAAATTCCCCATTTTCCCATAACTCCCACCCACCCCAGCTAGCAAAATATATAGTTATAAAATATTTAAATTAATTAATTAAATAAATTGAACCCCTGAGGGTTAAAAAAATGAATAAAAGTTAATCCTCAGGGGTTAAAAAAAATTAGATCACAGTATAATACTGTGATCTCTATTTGATCGCTGTAGGCAGTGATCGACTGGCAGGGAAGGGGTTAATTTTTATTTGGACTAGGTAAAGTGTGTTTTTTTTGTTTTTTTTACTTAAATGTTATTAAAACATTTTTTAAGTTTAATTTTTAACTTTTTAAAGTTTCTTTTAAAACTTTTTTTTAACGTTAACCCCTAGTTAGCCTAACGCCAAATCCCCCAATTCCCCACTAACTTCCACCCACCCCAGCTATCTAAATATATAATTTAAAAATAATTTAATTAATTAATTTAATTAATTTAACCCCTGAGGGTTAAAAAAAAAAAAATTAACCCTCAGGGGTTAAAAAAAAAAATCAGATCATAGTAAAATGTAATCCCTGCCAATTGATCACTGTAGTCAGTGATCAATTGGCAGGGAAGGGGTTAATTTTTTATTAAAATGGGTAAGGGGGGGGACTTTAAATAAACTTTATTTTTTTTAACAGCAGGGGGCAGGATCATCACTGATCCGGCTCCCTGCACTTCACACAGAACCCGGAAGTGCAGGGAGCCGGTAGGTGAGTATACAGAGCACATGTGCTCGCTCTGACTTGTGGTCAGAGCGAGCACATGTGCTGGGCAGCTTGACCGGGTGCTCCCGGTATGCCTCTAATGCAGAGGCATACCGGGAGCACCATTAACCCCGCGATCGCCGCGATAGCGGCGATCCGGGGTTAATTTTACCGCGTGACGGACGAGGTCCGTCACCCGTCGTTAAGGGTCTCCCCTGTGTGACGGACCTCGTCCGTCACCCGTCCTGAAGGGGTTAAGGACCAAACTTCTGGAATAAAAGGGAATCATGACATGTCACACATGTCATGTGTCCTTAAGGGGTTAAAGGGACACTATCGTCACCAAAATAACTTTCTTAATGAAGCAATTTCTGTGTATAGATCATTTCCTGCTCAATTCACTGCCACTTTTGTTTCTGTTTATGCAGCGCTAGCCACACCTCCCCTGGATGTGAGTCACACAGCCAGCAAGAAAACAAAATGGTTTAATTTTCAATCAGATGTTAATTTACTTTAAGAGTTCTTATCTCCTGCTCTGTAAATTGAACTTTAATCACACGCAGGAGGATCCTGCATGATCTAGTAAGCTGTTAACACATCAGAAGATAAGAAATTCTAAATTAAACAGAAGTTGCAAGAAAGGAAGTTTAAATATTAGATTACTCTTTACAGGACGTGTTTAGGAATGCTGTGTAAGTCTGCATAAACAAAGGTTTTTAACTCCTAAATGGCAGAGAATTGAGCAGTGAGACTGCAGGAGCATGATCTATACACCAAAACGGATTAATTAAGGTAAATTTTTATGGTGACTATAGTGTTCCTTTAATCTGTCCACGATGAGATAATCAATTATGATGATCTATGGTCCAATCCAATGCTGCTTATATAAAAAAAAAAAAAAAAAAACCCTGCTGTAGACCAATGGCACACATGCCGCAATCACCTTGATCTAACAATCCAATCCTAAGAAGCGTTTGTTGCTCCTAGCTGCATCAACAGTGTGTGCAATGATACTGAACATTAGTACCTTTTGAAAATGTAATTTCATGACTAGCAAGTGCATCTAACTGCTGTCTGTATGAGAGTCATTAAAGGTGTGTTTCACTAAATTTTAATATTGCTGTTTCTTAGAAACAGCAATGTTTTATGTTGGTGAATAAAAGGGGCAGCATCTATGCACTAAAATAAATACATTCAGATGTAGTGTTTTTAGTGCTTTGAGTACCCCTTTAAAAATAGAAATATTTTACAAATCACCCCCTTTTTTTTTTGTTTCTCCATTCATCCTAACTATACTAAAAATACCTGTGCAGCACATAGGGTGCATGTCAATGACAGTCACTAATTTAAGTTTAAAGAATCCATATAAAAAGACAGAGTTAAAAAAATTAAATGTGTATTGAAGTGAATTAAATCATAAGATTACATTGTGCACTGTTAAACAAGCATTTAAACATACACCTGGATCAGAGAAAACAACCATTTGATGTAATTACGAAAATGGTAAACAAAATATAGTTCTGTTATTATCACAAATGGTTTACAGGAAAACAAAGACAATGTGAAGAAATTCAGTACAATGAAAAATTATATACTTCATTCCTCGGAATTAGAAGACTTAATTGAAATATCTCCCTCCAACATGGAAGGGATTCTGTTCAGTCTGTAGTTGGCTTCCATACACTGCCAATTCACGAAGTAAGAACATTTCACGAGCCTGTATACATTCGATGATCTCCATGATGTTTACCATCCTAATCATTTAAAATTAGTACAGAAAACTCTTGCCACATCAGGAACATGTTAAGGTTTTCACTGAAGTGTTATGATATTCTGATTCCAGTCATTTCAACTGTTGAACAACCTGCAAACAAGTAGCACAATAGTTAAAGTTTATTATGTTTTTCTCTCACACAGTTTTTTTTCAGTCTGAAACCATCTTGGTGGCTATAAACAACCCAAAGTGTTCATGTTGAAAAACAAATACCATTTACTGGTGAACAGGAACTAAACGGTAGAACTGAGATCTTTTTCTCCCCTTACATTAAGGGATATATCAATTGTTACAAATGTCTACCTATTGCGGATATTTGCCAGTAGTCTAGTGCACAGCTGAAACATTAGGTTTGGCAGAATCCCATCGTGATCAGTTTGTGTAGTCTGATCTTTGTCCATGTTTTGCTTCAGCTTGTCCAAATATCATCCTTGGAATATATTGGCTAGGCACCTCACCAATCGCACACCAGGATCAATTAAACAGGCTCATGATTGATGTGGCACTGGCTAGGAACAACAGTAACCTAACCAGTCTCACACTAGGATCAATGACACTGGCTATCTCCCACACTGGTACAGCAAGGGTAAAAAAAATAAAAATAAGACAATCCGTGTATGCTGGGATTTTTCCATGAATAGGTAATAACATGTCTAGTAGAATGTTGCTTGGAAAACCACAGGGTTATTTATTAAATTTAAGACCAGAGTATCCAAAATGAAAGCTTAGCTGACTTAAATCATGTTTTCCATTTGGCTGTTTTGACCTTAAATTTGAAATTCACTAAGAATTCACACTTTAATAAATAACCCCAATAGTGGTTTAAATTCTCCTCCCACTTCCCACCTCTTTTGATCTATTTACTTGACCTGTGAAAAAAAATCAAATAAATTAAACAGAACATGTATCCCACATCTTTGGACAGACCTCTTGTCCATCATGGCAAACTAAGCTGTTTATTTCCCCCCACACCACCACCAAAAAAGGAGAAAAAAAAATAGCTCCTTCTCCTGTCAGTCCTCTTTCTGATGCCATGGCCAGAAATCCAAATCACAAAACTGTAGTCCATTACGCAGGTCATGTGATCACCCATACGGCACTTCAAAGTTACAAGACAGAAGACCTGCTGGTAGGCCAACATTTAGACAAATTTGAATTAATTTTTTTTATATTACTTTTTTAATGCATCCTCTATATAAATGTATTTTTCTTGAGTTGTGCAAGTTCTTTTTAGTGTTCCACCAGTTGGAGGCCAAATGGTTTTCTTTGCAAACATACAAACAATGCCAGATTTATGAGATATAGGTTTTATGACGTACCTTATTTGCTGCCTCCAATGAGTTTATAAGATTCTGCAATTCCTCTTTGTTCATCTCAATAGACACTGGAGTAATAGCACCATTTTCTTGAATATCTAGATCGAGGTTTACAAGCGGCATCTGTAATGATGACAGCTTATCACTGGAGAGGGCAAGCTGCAGAGGAAAGAAAAAGAATAATCCAAGACAAAAGAAAAATGTTACCAAATGAGTGCATGTGTCAATAACTAACGCAGAATTTCTCTATACTCTGGTAAAGGCATTGCCTATTTAGAGAGTTGCTTCATTCACAGAAGGATCCCCACCGAGACATGATTGCTAGATGATAATAATCATCACAGGCAATTTAAGGTACATTAGGTGCAATTAATCTATTTAATTCTTATTCCCTGGCATTAATGAGTGCAGGGCTTCATTATTAAAAAGCAAGTCATTCGAAGAACTCCTTGTAGACTGGTTCACCTTTGTAGATGGTGGGTATGAACTTCAAAAGAAGTCATATAGTTATGGTAGTCATATCTTCTAAGAGCCAGGGATGTATTTACAATAAGGCAAACAAGGCATTTGCCTAGGGTGGCACTTTCAGGGGGGTGGGGGTGCCACAAAAATGCCACCCCAAGCTCCCAGACAAATGCATTGTTTGTCTGGTGTTCTGGGGCTGTCCACCTTACTGTGAGTGAGGGAGTGCAGCTGTCAGTGTGTGTCGGTGAGTGAGAATGGGTGCGCATGTGAGTGTGTGTATGTCATTTTATGTGTATCTGAGAGTGTGTGCCTGTCAGTGAAAGAGTGTGTTGGTTAAACAGTGTGTGCCAATGACTGTATCTGTCAGTGAGTGTATATCAGTGCAGGTTTCAATGAGGGCATGTGTCTGTCAGTCAAAAAAAATGGCCTTGAAACAAATTGGGGGGGCAAATTTAAATTTTTAGGGCAGCACAAATCCAACATACAACACTGCTAAGAGCACTTATGAAACATACATAAGTGCACATAAGGTAGAGGACTAAGCACAACTGAACTTTTTACACAGATACTACTGAACTTAAGTATTTGGTTATGTAGTCATATATAGGCAGGGCCGTTGCAAGGATATTTGGCTACACAGATGAAGATGCATTCCCCCCGAAAAATGCATATTCACCTGTGTGTCCCTTAATACCCCTCTTGAATTTCTAACCCACTTTTGTGTATCTCTTTCTTCACTTCCCCATCCCCTCTATGTCTCTTTATCTTCCTATCGCTTTGTGTTTTACTTCCCCCAGCA